TCCCGGCTGCAGAGCGAGAGCCGGCCGGGCGGGGGCGGGCGCCTCTGCTGTGAAAGCTTAGTTAGAAAGCTGCCCCTGCAGAAAAGTCAGATAAATCTCTCCCATTTTCCTTTTAGCAAAATTAATTGTGTGCACGTAGTTCTTCCATTAGCTCCTGGAAGGCGGAGACAGTATGCATCACAGCTCTAAAATCTTAGGACTCTAACTTGCATTCGGCTTAGAATTTTAAAATACTAACGGCATGGTCTACTTTGTTTTTTAATACTTTTTAAATATGAAAGTAATCTAAAACCTAGAGGAAAAAGTTGCAACTACAGTGCAAAGAACACTTAAAAAAATCATTTGACAATAAGATACCGACGAGATGCTCCAATACAACCATTAAAATCAGGAAATTAATGATAATTTACTACATCTACTGCCCAAACCGCATTCAATCAATCACTGGTTGTCGTTTGTAGTAAAAAGCTCCTGTTCAGAATAATGTATTGCATTTCCTGTCACATCTCCTTAGGCTTCTTCAATCTGTAACAATTCCTCGGTGTCTTCTGACTTTCATGATCGGGACACTTGTGAAGACGACAGGCCAATCATTTTGTAGAATGTCCCTTTGTCAGTTTGGATTTGTCTGATTAGATTCAGGTTGTGTTTCTGTAGCAAGAGTATCACAGAAGTATCACATTGCATCCTCTAGGTGGAGTGATTTTGATGTGTCCTGTTAACTGAACTTAATTCACTTGATTAAGCCTCTACCAGGCTTCACCACTATAAATTCACTCTTTTTCCCTTTGTGATTAATACATATTTTGGGAGAAAGTGCTTTGAAGCTATATAAATATCCTAACTCATCAAACTTTCCATTTTATTCAGGTATTTATGGAATCATAAGTAATCTAAGTATGCACTTATGGTATCCTATTTGAATAAATGGTTACAATCCATTCTATATTTGTTTGATGCTCACAGTGTCCCAGATTTGGTCAGTGGGAAACCATTTAAGCTGACTTTTGACATGTCTCCATCATTCTTTGGCACTTCCTTACTTCCTAGTCCAACATATTCCATGCTTACCTTGTATTTTCTGTGACCCAGTCCTAGAATCAGCCATTTTCAAAAGATCCTTGGTTCTCTTTAGCAGAGAATGGTAATTAGAAACCAAGACCTCAGTCTAGATGTGCTCATACTTTTGATGTGTTACTGTTCCCAGGCTGTCTGAGTGAACAGAATTAGGGACTGTGTATGTATGTGTGTGTGTATGTGCATATTTATATTTACCTACTCTCTACTTATATTTATATCCAGGAGTTTATACCAACACCTCCAATTCTGTTGCACCATCGTAGATTTTGTTTTAGTTTTTCTATCCATATTTGTAATTCCCTAAGCTTGCCAATATATAATTTACCTTGCTTGAGCCTATCTAATGGCTTTAGAATTGAATTGTTCAAGAAGGGAAGGAAAGAGGAAAAGAAAGAGTGTCTAAGTAGTTTGGAAATGAGCATCCTGCCAGCATCTGAGAACCGGCTATGAGCCAGTCACTGTTAGACACTTGGGATGTGCAGATAAATAACCCAGCATCTGTCTCACAGAGCTCAGTTAGTGAGGGATAGATTTTAATGAGCCACATTTACAATGACAAAATATGAATTATGTCCCAGATGCTAAAGGAGCAGTGTGGGAAGCCCTCTTTCCCAGAGTGTCAGCTTTAGTTGGGAATGAAAGGAAGAGAAGTAGGGCTCTGGGAGGGGAGGGAGAGAGGTACAGGTGAGGTAAGCCATCTTGAAACCATGAAGTATGGTCTCTGAAGTCCACTAAAGAATTCAAAACAAGAAACAACCTGATTAGTGTTGCATTTGGAAGTTTCTCTATCGACATAGAAACTCTTGGTCTGTCTGTATAGGTTTGGAAGAGGGGGAGCATATTGAATTGGAAGGAAATATTTTTGGGTGAAGATTACTTAATTCAGTCCATAGCCAATTCAACTGAGCTCAGTGTCCCTCTCCCTTTCTCCTTAAAGGCCAAGCAAGAGAAAAAAAAACAAACAAACAAAACCATATTGATTTGAAGCCTTTCCAGCTTGAGCATAGGAGCTTGTGCTAATTTAAGTGTTCGTCTTACTATGTTCAAGTGCAAATATGGAACAGTTCTACCAAGAATAGGGAAAGAGTAGTGTGGAGTTTTACTTTGTTTCTTTGAAACTATATTGTAAGTCAGGCTTCTAGTTTGTATTAACCAGTTACTTTGCATTAGCAGAGATAGTAAAAGACTCATGAGTATTCTTCTTAAGATTGTTGAAATTCTGCCACATTACTCTGAGATGCCACAAAGAGGGATGAAATGATGTCTGAAGACTGCTGGTCTAGAAACAAGAGAATCTATTAGATAGATCCGAGGGCACTGAATCACAAGTTTTCTATTGATTAGTATGTAGGGCCTACTTAACCACAATCTTCACATACTAATTTAGGTGGAATCTTTTACTTTACTATTTCCTTCTCTGCATAATGTTTTATCACTGGTTTTCTCTCATTAGCAGGATTCTCTAACTGAATTTTGATTTACTGCAGCAAACATGAAGAATACAATTCAATTTATAAACGTTCAAATCACATGGTGACTCAGTAGAAAGAACCCAGGCTTTGGGGTAAGACAGGTTTCCCAATTTTCTCAGGCTACTAGTCTGCCTTTTCCCATTTGCAAATAGGAAAATAATACTTACCCCACTGAGTGGTTGTAAAGCTAAATGAACTATAATAACGCCTTCTTAATGATAATAATAAAAACAAGCATTATTAATATTATTAATTTATATTGTTCTCATAATAATGCCTTCTCACAAAAGTAGGTGTTTCATACCTCTCAGTTCTCTTCCCTTTTCTGGAGCCACTCTTTGTGGGAAGTACAGAAGAACCACACTGTGCAAGTGGGAAGAAGTCTTACCTTGCATGTAAAAACCATTTTGCAATTTTTCAAAAACACTTTTACATTCATGATCTCCCTGGACAGACAAGTTCATACAAGACTCATTGTACATAGGTGGTGGATACAATTATACACTCCCATCTTCTTCCATACATATAAAACGTAATGTTTTCTTTCACTCAAAATTATATACAGAGAGCTAGAGAACGTCAATAGTTCTTAAAAATCGAAATCCTGTCCTAAAATGTAGCAGCATCTTTACTTTCCCATGAAAAGTAGGCCTGTTATATTAGACTCTTTGTTTTTAAAAATTCGTAAAAAATTTTGAATTTGAATCATTTGTGGGTATACCACCGCTAAGTTTAGACTGATTTTCCAATAATTGTTTTAACAATAAGAAATCAAGTCACTACTTAATTTGAATTACAAATTATGAGTATGGGTTTGTAAGCATTCTCTATGTGGGTTTGAACAAGTTGTAAGTTACTCAAAAGTGTTTGATTCTTTTCTGTTGAGCTTCCTTACATAGAACTCGTTGGAAGACTGTTGCCAATACATTTAAACAGTGACACCTACTGGTTAATTGGAGGCAAATTTGTGTGTTAAATTCTGTCTGCTTAATACTGACTATAAAATCCTGATAAATTGTTGTTCCACAGTCACTATGTTTAGGAGCACATTAAGGCTATTGTCTTATCCAGCCAATATTTTGACTTTCTTTTTTCTCTTTCAATCATTGATGATAAATCTGCCATTGGAAAAAAATCCCAAATCATTGACCCAATTTGCACGAGCCATTATTTTAATTGTATGAACAGGGCCTTTATCTCATCCTATCCATCATCTTTGTTTCAGTGTATTTTTTTCAAACTCAGAAACTGTGAGATTGAAGATGAATAGATATTTAGGCTAGCCACCGACTTTAAAACACAGAAGCCATGCCCAATTTGGGGAATCCTGAACAAGAAGCTTTCTTTGTCCTCAGTACCAAGTTGGAATTTGGAGATCTTAATTAACCCCTTTGTGTTACATCTTGCTTTTAAGTAACCATTGCAGCTAATTAATGAACAACTTGAATGCACGTCGCACATTTGGTAATTGTTCAAATGAGATAAATGATAATACCTGCAGCTTTCATGAGCATGTTCAGGTACAAAAATCCATGGAGGACTCAGGGAAC